AGGAGCGGTCTGGCTCCTCCACGAAGGACAAGCTGCCTGCCAAGAAGGTCAGTAAAATAAAGCATTCGGAGGTCAGCGCGAAAGCTCCTGCCACCCGAAAGCAGGCTGCCATGGAGAAGAGCAATAAGCTGGCTAGAAAAATGTCTTTGAAAGAGAAGAGAGCCCCAAGAAGGCAGCTGGAGAAGGTGCGGCTCCCCATGCGGAAGGGCAAAGAGAACACGAGCAGACGGGCCGTGCTGCCCCTCGGCCATGAAGAGCTGGCCACGTCCCTGAAGCAGAAGCCCCTGGGGGACTCCTCCACGCGGTCTCAGAAGATAGCCAACAAAAAGCCCAGCGGTGGGAAGACCCTGACAAGGTCCATGAAGAAGATGCAGGAGAGCAGTGAGTCACAGGGCAAGAGGAAGCTGAGGGCAAAAGTGGACTGTTCGCACAGCAAACGCTCCCGACTGGACCCGAAATAGTGAAGAAGCGGTAGCCATGTACAAAACTGATGTACAGTAGTAACCCTTTACCATGCATTAACTAAAGCTGCTTTTATAAGCTGTAGCAAGCCTTTAAAAATCCGCAGTTACAGGATAACGCTCGTGATTTTAGGCATCGGCGGATGTGTCTCGGACAGAGAAGAGGTCGGCCTGTCTGGCTCTGCTGTTCAGAAGGAAGTTTCTGCAGTTTGAAGGTTCCTTGGGGGTTTTTTTAAACTTGGAACCAGGCAGTTTTAGTTAAAAGTACAGTGCCTTATTTATCACTTTAAAAATAAAATTAAGAAGCTCGTCTGTGTGATTTGGAGGCTTGCGTTTTATACTTGAGGCACAAGCACTTGTACTGTAGCAGAAAGAAAACCACCTTCGTGCACATGAAGTAGCTTTTGGCAGCCTTTGGGTGCACGCAAACATTTCCCTTTCCTTCAGAGTCCTCCTTCTGTCTGTCTTCTTAGTGGCATTTAAAGCAAAACCAAAACCATTTCCCATCAGTGAGGGTGAGAAAAGCAAATCTGTTGTTTGTCGGTTCGTTAGTAGCTGCTGGTGTCCCATACCTGCATATAAGTGTTAATTAGCTACTGGTGTATGTACTGCTGATGGCTGCCTCGCTCCCCCATTGCACAGCCCGTGGGGTGGGGAGGTCCCACTCGGGTGGAGGTGGCGGAGGAGATGCTGCAGGTACCAGGCTGCCGCATCCACTGCCGCCAGCCAGGCACGCTGGGCTGTATCCGTCTTCATTTCTTGCTGGCTTCAGGGATAAATTGGTCCTGCCATGCCCTGCTTTTGGACAGACCTCCTTCTCCCATTTTCCTGTGCTTATGGTGATTTCTGTGGTCTCATGGCAGAGCAGTTTCCGCAGTGCTTCACTGAAGGTTGAATCTCTCCCTTTTCTCAGACTCGAGCTCCTTCTGGTGCTGGTGCTCTGCAGAAGGGGAGCCCTGGCCCTTACCCTGTGCTCTTGTGCACATCTTGCCTAGCGCCCTCCTAAGCCAGGGTTTGCAGTTGGAATAGGGTTGGGATAAGGGACTGACTTGAGTCTATTTTCTACCGTAATTTGCCTTTCTTCCTTGTACTAGCAAGGTGCGTTTGGTTTGTCCTTGCTTGTGTCTGGTGCTGTGGAGTCTGAAAGCGACCAAGCCTCTGCCCTGTCCTGCACGACACCTTGGCAGGGCTCCTCTGCAAGCCTGTGCAGCACGTTGAGAAGCCAGCTGGGGATCTGCAGTGGCAGAACAGGGTCACGGTGCCGAGCACCTCTGAGAAAAACCTGTTAGAAGTGCAGAGAGCGCTCGGCTGTGCTGCCTCTGCCAGGCAGAGATGCTCAGCAGCTGAGAAGGGACTGCTGCGGTCTGCGCTCGGGAAAGGACCCCGCTCAGCCATTGCACATCCACAGCTTCACTTCTGCGTGCTGCACAAAGTTGGTTTGCGTGGATCCCAATGCAAGCCTCCTCCTGTGCAGGAAGCAGCAGTGCCCGAGAAGGCACCCTGCAGGCTCTGGGGTCACCCGACATTTAACAGCCGCTCGCTGGCCCTTGCTCAGCCCCTTGTCCCTGCTCAGAGGAAGGCTCTGGGACAGGCCATGCATTGGAGAGATGCCTGTCCTGGGGGCAGAGGCTAGACAGGGCTTGGCTGCAACTGGAATTGCTTTTCGTGGTTGGCATTGAACCCCAGATCCCAAAGCCTGCGAGCTGGAGGTGGAAAGCAGATACTTGTCTTTAAATCTTTCATAGTAGCCGTTTAGAGGACGAAACAAGGCGTTTGAGGTTCGCACGCCCTTTACAGAGCACCTCTGGCTCTCTTGCAGGTATTCCCTTCCCCCAGCGCTGACGCACACGAGGCTTCGGTACATTTTTTCTCTTACTATGAAATGGCTGATTTAAAAAAAAGAAATCCTTTACCTTTCCTTTGAATCATACTAGAATAAGTTAACTCTCTGAACAGCTAGGAAGTGATTAAATCTAGCCTGTCAGTCCCTGTACAGATTAATATGAAGTTATCTATTACTTTAATTTTTACTGCATGCATTAAATATGTCAAACATTCCATCAGAAAAGATTTAAAAGCGTTTCAGGAGAGGTGTGAGGCAGGAGGGCACTGATGGCAGTTAAATGACTGATCTATACCTTTCTTACAGGTTGTCTTTTCTCGTTGCTTCTCCAACCGTACTTACGGTCCTCCTCCAACCTCTGGCTGGGATTTCCCGTCCTTCCCCTCTGCCAGGAGCACATGTGAGCATCCCTCTTGCCTCTGCTCCTCATGCTGCTTCCCGGCAGCAAAATCCCTTTTCCCCATCCTTCACAACTCCTCTTCCTCCATCCTCCACCATCACTTCTGAAGCGCCTGCATGGGGCTGCACGTGCAGAGCCGTGCCAGGCACACGGACACAGCGCTCCTCGGGGCTTTCCCTCTCTCTTGCTCTCTAATTTTTTAGCTGCTGGCAAATGAGGGCTGCTCTGCTCTCTGTCTTCCATGCTTCTAGCAGTGAACACTTCATTAGGATAAAAACTTGGACAAAACAAGTGGAGAGAGGCTTTCTGGATGGGGTGCTGCTGCTCCAACCTCCCAGCTACCTTCCTGCGTCCCGGAGCTCCACCAGCACCAGTTGGCTCAGCATGGCAAGGGTGGGAGATGGCAGGTGTCACAGTGGTGTGGGAGTGAAGCAGCATCTGGGCATCTGTCCCAGTTTGGTGTGCACTGCTTGGCTTAGGTGGTGGTGGGATCTGCGTGCTGAGGTTCCCAGCAGTGGCCCTGCCAGGTGTCAGCTCCAGAGAGGAACGGCCAGGACCCATCATGGGGGGAAATCAGAGATACTGAAAGGACAACCATATTCATCCCACCCCTTTGAACTGCCAGTCTCAATCTGTAGTTTTCTGTCATACTGCTGTGTTTCAGCTTAGTTGGATGGAGATTTCCTGTGCTGAAGGCAGGTCCCTGTGGGACAAAGCCATGTCACCAGATGCTGTCGGAGTCACAGGACTCTGGGAGGGAGCGAGGTGGCATTGACCATACTGGGCAGTGTGCAGGCAGTGTGGCCTGAGACTCAAAGCATCTGCAGCTTGTCCCAGGCTCGGATCGCCTGTAAGCAGCAGCTCTGTCCCTTGCTGGGGGATGCCAGAGGCATTCAGCCAGCTCTGCCTTTCCCACATCAGATCCAGCACGTCCTGCGCCAAAAATAACACTCACAAAATCCATGCAAAGAGCCTACTGACTTTTGACAGGATCTGGGCTGTGCCTCCCAGGTAAATCTGAATTTCTGCAACCTTTAATGAGGAAAGGTACAGGGTGTGTTTATTGTCAAGATGGGGCTGAAAAGAGAGTTCTGGGCTGGGCTGTGAATTGTTATTCTTGTCTTCAGAAAGCAAATGAAAAGAAAGCAAATAATTCTAGCTCTCTGCTCCACTGTTCTCTGGGCCGGTCCCTGACACTGCAGCCTCTGCAGGGCTCTCCCTGGCTGGGCATGTGAATCCTGCTCAGAGCTGCTCTGCTCTCTGCCTCCTCCTTTCCGCCCAACAACCCCCCCTTATTTAAAAATTACAATTTTGAGAAAACCTGAATTGATTCTTCTCTACGTCGTGCTGTTTGTGAGGAGCTGGCAGGGACGTTTCCTCCCGCAGCTGCGGTGCTGGGAGGTGGGTTTAACTCGCACAGGTAGTTTTTTTTACAGAGAGCAGGCTTGTTTGCCAAGGGATGGGTAGGGTGAAGCCATCGCCTGAGTTATTGCAGTGAGCACTTGGGGCACGACCTCTCCAGCCCACCTCGAGGTGGGAATGTTGGTGCTTCAGTACAAGTTCTCTAAATTACAGATTTGTGCAATCTTTGGGTTACCCTAGGGAAGAATGCCCCAGGGGTGAGGGAGGCCAGGGGTGGTGGTCATCTTTAGAAAACCATTAAGGCTTTCTGCTCTGAGGAATCCCCCAGCTCACTCCTGGGTTCCTTTCCTTGCTGCCACTGCTCCTGGAGATGCCATCTTTGGCCCCTCTGCCTCTCCTGTGTGCATTCTCCACTTGACACCAGTAGTAGCTACCAGGTCTGGCAGATTACAAGACCTCTTTTTAATGTGCTTTGCACTTGCTTTTGTGAGCACTTTGTTTCGGGGCAAGAAGGAGGAATGCTGTAATTTGCTAGAAAATTAAATTTCAATGTAATTCACTAGCAAATTGAAGGGTCTGCATATGAGGTGACTGCCTGGCAGGGTGGCATTGCTTGGGTAGCTCCATCTTCTTCATCAATACTCAGATGTTTGAATTTTTTTCCTTTTCTTTTTCTCCCAATTGGTCCTCGTGTTGCATTACTCTCTTCCCGATTTACTTCCCGATTTCATCTCTCCACGCAGCCACATTTCAGCTAGAACAGTGCACAAGAGACTGAAAAATAAGTAGAGATAGTACCATGTGTACAACCTGTTGCTCTTTGTTAATGACTTAGGACATGCACTACTCGTTTCTGTTCTGCAGCGAGGCAGCGGTGAGGTGTGCAGCTGCTTTAGAGCAGTCTGTTTCCAGTAAATACAGCTCCTGCGCAGTGCACGGGATGCACAGGGAGCTGCAGATGATCTTAATGAATGGAAGGAAATAAGCAACGTGATTTATTGCCTTATTACACACGGGCATCGAGTGCGTTTCCGTTTTCTGCAGTGCAGAGTTGCCCACTGGCACTACCACAGTGCCATCCTCAGCTCCGCAGCCTCATTGCGCTCCTCCTCCTCCTCCGGGCCACCCCGCAGCTCCCCACTCTGCTGCTTCAGCTCTGGATTTCAGCACAAGTGCTGTGTCCCACAGAGCAGACCTCTCCTCTTTCTGTTATTTTGGTTTTCCTTGCTGGCCAGTTTCTCATGTTCTTCTTGAAACTGGTCTCCATCCCAGCTCCCTGGTCCATGTACCAGGAGCAGCATCTTCATAGCTCTGTATCTCCACAGATGTCCTTACTGTCCCTCTCTCATTCACAAGGTTACCTTTTCCTCTCTCACCTTGTCATTGGCAGCTCTG